AGTGGTTAGTGGCAATAAGGCAGGCAGGCAGAGGTGGTTAGGGGGGATCAGGCAGACAGGTGAGCAGTTAGGGGTGATGAGGCAGGCAGGCAGAGGGGTTAGGGTTGATCAGGCAGACCGGTGAGCAGCTAGGAGTGATCAGGCAGGCCGGCAAGCAGTTAGAGGCATCAGGCAGGCAGGCAGAGTGGTTAGGGGTGATGAGGCAGGCAGGCAATGTGGTTAGAGGCGATGAGGCAGGCAGGCAGACGAGCAGTTAGGAATCAGCAGTCCAGGATTGCGAGAGGGATATCTAAATGCCAGTTTAGGCCCAATGCAAGGATCAGGCCTGAACTAGCAGTCGGACATCCCCCAAGGGATCCCGGATTGCAAGATGGTGCAGGCTGGGTTGAGGGACCCCTGCCCCCATGCACGATTTTGTGCACCAGGCCTCTAGTTTAAGTATAAAATAACAGAAAATCAGCATCAGAAGGGACCTTAGGGATCATCTAGCCTATTCTCATCTATGATTTAAAATCTCTCCTATGATTTCTACTCCTTGAAAGTGATCTTTGAACAATGCCAATAGTGAGGAACTCAGCACACAGGAAGTTCGTCCCATCTCTGACCAGGCGCTGACTATTGCCACTCTTTTCTGGTGTGTAATGCCCAGTCTGAACATTATATTTCACATGCAGTCCAACTTGGGGAGTAGTCACTCTGGCTCTGGCAGAATTGAAGAAATAATAGCTTAGAGTATACAACAACAAAGTAGGCAAACTCTTGCATGTCTAAAATGCTTGAGAAATCAATATCAATATCCAGGCCAATTGGTAATGCATTAAATTTGGGACTTTGCACAAGTTATTGTCATCCTTGATGTTATTAATTAATTACTTAATTTTAATCCTCACCCAAGGATAGGATATGTTTTTATTGATTTTAGAGAGGAAGAGAGAGAGAGAGAGAGAGAGAGAGAGAGAGAGAGAGAGAGAGAGAGAAATAGAAAGAGAGAGAGGGAATGGTATAAGAGAGAAACATGGATCAATTGCTTCCTGTACATGACCCAACCAGGGATCAAATCTGCAACCTAGGTATGTGCCCTGATTGGGAATAGAATCTGCAATCTTGTGGTGTATGGGATGATGCTCCAACCAACTGAGCCACCTGGCGAGGGCTATGTGTTTATTTTTTTAGATGCAGGTTGTAAAACTCATTTTGAGAGTTTTTTGTGAAGATTAGAAATGATGTTTGTAAAGCAAGGTAACTGGCCCAAATATGTGGCCTAGTGAATGGTAGCTATTATCCTATACTAGAGGCCCAGTGCACAAATTCGTGCATCAGTGGGGTCCCTTGACCTGGCCTGTGGGACCGGGCCAAAACTGGCTCTCTGACATCCCACGAGGGGTTCAGACTGCAAGAGGGCGCAGTCCGGGCTGAGCCCCCCCCTCCCCGTGTACAAATGTCGTGCACTGAGCCTCTAGTTTTTTTATACTGCCCAAAAAGATTTATTTGTATACATACCAATGAAGGAACGTAGTCTTCTGTCAAATGGAGAAGATTAAAATTCTTAAGTAGCTGATTTTGGGACCTACTACAATGGGAAGACTTGCTTTATTGTCTTCAGATGTTAGGTCTATTTACAGGCTTTTAAAATGGGTCTTCCTTCCCCTGGGGCCTGCTTTTCCACTGCCCAATGATATACAAGCTGGTGTTCCAGGTAGTTCCTGTTCTTCTTTTGTTCATCCAGGTACATTCCCATGAAGCATAAGACATCATATTCATTGTTGGCAGAAGCTATGGTCTTCAGGTCTAGCAAGAGCTTGGTTAACTGGTTCTCTAACTCCAGAACAGACTCTAGGGCTTGTATGCCAGTTTTCCAGTTATCTATCTCAGGCCTCTTAATCACTGGAAGGCAGATTTTACTCTCACATCCTCTTAGATACCTTAGGAATTGCTTTCCATGTTCCCTCTTCACCTCAGCTTAATTTTCAAACAATGTGGCAAAACGAGGTTCTCCTGGGCCTTCAATGTAATAACAGGCCATAGATAAATAAGCATTACTGATGTGCAGCTCATAGATGCCACGTGATTAATAGCAAACCTACACTCTTCAGAGAAGAGGTACTGGGCTGCCATCTCAGCTTTAGAAAAAAAAAAAAACACAGGCATATACAGTACTCTGAATGGTAGGTATTATTTTTACCTTAGCTTCAGAAATTACCAGTCTTTTTTTTTTCCATCCAGTCTTTAAAGAAGGACATAATAAAATAAACCATGAAGTAAAAGTATGCTTTTAACCACTATGTTGTTATTTGCTTATGTTGAATTTCTTTAAAGTTATCATAAAACATCAATCTGTAGTTGTTGGTGACATTGGAGATTGAACGTAATCTAAGCTGGCCTTAAGCAATACTATGGAGATTTTCTTTTTGAGTAACAATCTGTTATCTTCCTTTTTACCATAGTTGTCATTTGCTTCTCTTCTAAAGCAGGTTGTTAAAAAAATCGGCATTTGAACTCATGAGTCTTACTAGTATAGATTCAAAACTGTATGACTTTATTGCAGTTGCATGAATCTTGGCATTCATGCCATAAATCATTGAATATCCAAAATTATAGTCATAACTTAAGTTCAAAAGGAAGAATCTTAAAATATATGGTAGTGCCAATATGACAAGTGTCCACAGAAAGTAGGTTAGTCCCAATAGTATCACTTACCTTACTCTCTAGCAATAAACTGTGTGAATTTTACTTATGTTCATTCTTACTGATGCATTCAATGAGTTTCTGTAGCTTAATAAAAAAGAATGAAAGAGGGGAGGCCAGGGTCTGGGTGGAGGAAGGCAAAGGGGGAAATGGGAGACAATTGTAATGTCAAAAATAAAAATAAACTATTATCTATCTATCTATCTATCTATCTATCTATCTATCTATCTATCTATAAGCCTAAGTGACTGTCGGACCACTCTACCATTCACCCGGTAGCTATGATGTTCAATGACCACCAGGGGGCAAATACTCCGACCAGTAGCGGAGGGAGCCCAATTCCTTGTAGAATTGGCTGTGGGTTAGGTTACTGCTGGGGCACTGTTGGCCCAGAATCTGCTTCACCTGCACCCTAGACCCAGAGATCGGTTTCAACCCGATCCCCGCAGACCAGGCCAAGGGATCCCACCAGTGCACGAATCCGTGCACCAGGCCTCTAGTTTAAAATAAAATAAATGTGTGAGAGGATATCTGTTGCATTAAGAAAGATGTTATTTTAAGGACATTTTTGGCCTATTCTTGTTCATTTATTCTTGTTCATTTTCTGCATTTCATTTAGAATAGAAAGTGTGATGTTAAATAATCTTGTGGTAATTTTTAGTTTAACTCTTATTTTTTCAGCAATCATTGCAATTTGTATGTCATTCAAACTTTTCATTAAATGTACCAGCTTAAATGTTTGTTTTTTCTCTCTCACTAATTATTTTAATTTAGGAAAATAATTATTAATCACATTGAATTTTTTTTCTTGGATTTTGTTTCTGAAAGCATGCATTGTAAAGGAGAATCAGGAAGTGGAGGCTTGCAATAATCTGCCAAATCTTAACAAGAGTGCATGTTTGGAATACAGATGCTGTTATTCATCATTTGGGACCATGAACTTCCGCTGTTTTGCCCCATTAAGCAATAGTAAGTTCATCCTTTTACATTTATTGTATGTCTATTTTTAAAAATTGAATAAGCAGGTCACAATGCCATACATTTAAATTTGGCTTTCCCAACTTCACATTTAGTAAATGGGGCTTCCATCTCTAGAGAAATATTATCTGTATAATGTCCTGAGGTGGCCAGGCCACCTCATTCATGAGCAGTTTCTGTTTAGCCAATAGATGTGACTATGGAAATTTGAAATGAGTCTCTTCTTTTGCTTTAGTCACTATCTTGTTCCAAAGATTTCAGATTCTATGAGAGGTAACTCTCATTGCCTGGTAGAATGTACCAATGAGACATTCCTTAGCTTACTTTTTTCTCCCCATTTACTTATCCTGAATAGACTTCTTCCCATTTATCTTATCTTCTGCACCTCATTATGTGACAGTAGACTTAAGTATTTTTTATTAAGGTCTGTGTATTCATTTATTTTGGTTTTATTATTTTTGAATTTGGTTCTTCTATTAAGACTTTTTTCTTTTCAATCTTTTGAGAACTAAATCTCTTTTTGCTCCTCCGTTTGGATAGTAGGGACATATTACCAGTAAGTCCCATGATGAATATATTTGATATGATTAAACACTAACAGATACCACAAAAAGGATGCATGCAAAGCAATGTCTTAGGTTAATATAGCCCCTATTCAATTTACAGCTCTTTGTTGAACATCTAGTATTAATAATGGGAGATGAAATCTGATCATGAATATAGAATTACAATTTTAACAGTCACGCAGTGTTTATAATTTATTCATCATTTAGTCTTTATATTATGTGAGAAGAGACATTTGGTTTTTGTAGAGGGAAAATTTGAACCGTGACTTACAATTCCCCAATCATATTAGAATGTATTTCTAAACAAAATATACTTATTCATCTGCAAATTCTTGATATTTAATTAAAGTTTATAATTTGGAAGTAAACATTTAAGAAGCCATTCCTTTATCAAGTTAACTATTCATAGATTAATTTACTCTTTGAGTGCTCTAAGATGTATAACATTTGGCCAAAGAAAAACATATTGAGGCCATAGGAAGAATTATGAATCATAATAATATGTTAAGAGAAACAGTAGGATCATTTTGTTAAGATTTCCATTGGGAGGCATGTATTTAAAGTGTCAACTTTAGTTGTGTTTCAAGAACATTTCGTAAACTCCTGCACTTATAAAGGAGCAAGTATATTTACCTATCATATATGAATACCTCCTTATTTTACTTTACTGATACATTTTATAAAGACTTTATGAAAGAGCTCATATTTGCTTCTCTTAATTCATAAAAATAACAAGATATAATTAAATCAACAGAGCCTTTGCAGATATTCCGGATATTTGGATTTGGTGTGATTAGCATGATCATCCTGGGATGTCTGCCCATTTATTGCTTTTCTCTTCACTGTAGAAGGTAGGCAAACATAAACTTACATTTGTTGACTAGTGAGTATACTTGGATATTTCTGTTTAGACACATTTATTCATACATTCTAGAAACACGGGGATTAAGTTTGGGTCCCTTTTGTTTAAAAAAGGGGAGCTCAGTAAAAATCTAAAAGTAAAATTGCCATAACATTTAAAAATACATGTTATTTTATTTTTCCATAAATTTAAAATATCTTCTTACATAGTCTGCACATTGTCTCATCAAACAAAATACCAATTGGAAGAAAACTTAAATCAGTGAGCTGACTGGGGGTTTTTGAGTGGAAATAGTTTTTAACTGCAAATCAGGAGGATTCCAGCAAATGTTAGTCTAAATAGATGGTCATCTATCATTGTGCCTTAAAGCCTTGGTCTGTCTTCAAGCTGATTTTTATCAGATTTCCTCTTAGCATCTCATACAAACTTCCAGTGCATTATTGGAATAATGCTTTTAGTTTATTTTTTAACTAGAGGCCCAATGCATGGATTCATGCGTGGGTGGGGTCCCTTGGCCTGGCCTGCAGGGATTGGGCTGAAACCAGCTCTCTGACATCCCTTGAGGGGTCCCAGATTGTGAGAGGGCAGTTCTCAGGTGGCACACCCCAGAATTGGGCACCCTTCTCTCTGGTTCCAAGTGTGTCACCTGAGAACTGCAGCTGCTAAGTCACCGCAGCTTGGCAGCTCCTGCATTGAGCATCTGCCCCCTGGTGGTCATTGCACATCATAGCTACTGGTCAGATGGTTGAATGGTCGAATGGTCACTTAGGCTTTTATATATATATACTAGAGGACCGTTGCAGGAAGATTCCTGCAAGAATAGGGATCGCCCCCCCGGCTGGTTTCCCTCCCGCCTCCCGCCTCCACCTCCTTGGCTCCTTTCCTGTCTCCGCCACCTCTACTTTGCTTCCTTCTGCAGTGCTTTGCTTCCACGTTGTCTTCAGTCCTCGCTCCCAGCCATCTTGGTTGGGTTAATTTGCATATGGTCGCTCTGACTGGCTGGTGGGCATAGCGAAGGTATGGTCAATTAGCATCTTTGCCTTTTATTAGTGTAGACCAGAGGCCCAGTGCACAAAAATTTGTGCACTCGGGGGGAAGGGGGGTCCCCTCAGCCTGGCCTGTGCACTCTCGTAGTCTGGGACCCCTCGGGAGATAACGACCTGCTGGCTTAGGCCTGCTTCCGGGTGGCAGAGGGCAGGCCCAATTCCTAGGTGCACCCCTGG